ATGGCAGCATAGGTTAACGCCGGAGTTTGCTGCCTTGAACAACCACTTCAAAAGTGAAACTAAAAAACGGAACGGACATCACCCAGAACCACAGGAACGCTGGCTGAGTGGAAGTCCTACAACTAGGAGGAAAGAGAAACGCATACGGACACTCAGAGGAGGCGCAGTGCTGAAGTCAAATTCTGAGGTGCAGAGTGCGCGGAGCGGGCTGGCGGCGGAGGGCACAGTTGGCATTTTCAATCGGGAGGGAGTCGCAGACTCTGAGCTCCAGATCCGGGCGAGTCTTTAGGGACCCAGACTCAAACGGGAGAAGCGGGACTGTCTGGCTTCGGTCAGAGCGAGTGCAGCTTTCTCTCCGAGGTTTGCAGTGGGTGCTGGGACTCAGAGAGGCAGAGCCCCTGGGGACAGGACTGAGAGCCGCCATAACTGCTCTCTCCGGCCCACCCTGTTGATCCTGTGCGACCCGCCCCGCCCAAGCCCTGCACAGAGGCATTTGCCAGATAGCCTCAGGCAAAGGCTAGATTAGCACCTCCCTAGAGGACAGAAGTTCTCTCACTGCAGACACAGCTGATTCTCACAGCCACTTGGCCTGGAGGTCAAACCCTCCCTGGTATTAGCTACAACAATCAAGGTTTAACTATAAGACTTCGCACAAAGACGACTAGGGGGTGCACCAAGGAAGCATAACAAAATGCAGAGACAAAGAAACAGGACAAAATTGTCAATGGAAGATATAGAGTTCAGAACCACACTTTTAAGGTCTCTCAAGAACTGTTTAGAAGCCGCCGATAAACTTAATGAGATCTACAAGAAAACTAACGAGACCCTCGATGTTATATTGGGGAACCAACTAGTAATTAAGCATACACGGACTGAAATAACGAATATTATACAGACTCCCGACAGCAGACCAGAGGAACGCAAGAATCAAGTCAATGATTTGAAATGCGAGGAAGCAAAAAACACCCAACCGGAAAAGCAAAATGAAAAAAGAATCCAAAAATGCGAGGATAGTGTAAGGAGCCTCTGGGACAGCTTCAAGCGTACCAACATCAGAATTATAGGGGTGCCAGAAGATGAGAGAGACCAAGATATTGAAAACCTATTTGAAGAAATAATGACAGAAAACTTCCCCCACCTGGTGAAAGAAATAGCCTTACATGTCCAGGAAGCGCAGAGAACCCCAAACAAAAGGAATCCAAAGAGGACCACACCAAGACACATCATCATTAAAATGCCAAGAGCAAAAGATAAAGAGAGAATCTTAAAAGCAGCAAGAGAAAGAAACTCAGTTACCTACAAGGGAATACCCATACGACTGTCAGCTGATTTCTCAACAGAAACTTTGCAGGCCAGAAGGGAGTGGCAAGAAATATTCAAAGTGATGAATACCAAGAACCTACAACCAAGATTACTTTATCCAGCAAAGCTATCATTCAGAAGTGAAGGTCAGATAAAGAGCTTCACAGATAAGGAAAAGCTAAAGGAGTTCATCACCACCAAACCAGGATTATATGAAATGCTGAAAGGTATCCTTTAAGAAGAGGAAGAGGAAGAAAAAGGTAAAGATACAAATTATGAACAACAAATATGCATCTATCAACAAGTGAATCTAAGAATCAAGTGAATAAATAATCTGATGAACAGAATGAACTGGTGATTATAATAGAATCAGGGACACAGAAAGGGAATGGACTGACTATTCTTGTGGGGGAAAGGGGTGTGGGAGATGCGGGAAGAGACTGGACAAAAATCGTGCACCTATGGATGAGGACAGTGGGTGGGGAGTGAGGGCGGAGGGTGGGGCGGGAACTGGGAGGAGGGGAGTTATGGGGGGACAAAAAAGAGGAACAAATGTAATAATCTGAACAATAAAGATTTAATAAAAAATAAATAAAATAAAATAAAATAAAATAAAACTGATTGTCCCTGCTTTGTCCTTTTGCTTCATTACCAGGGAGAGAAATACAACTAGTGGCCATTCCTCTTCCCATTTGTCACGCTTAAGACTTTGGGGAAAGCAGTGTGGCTCTGACTCCATAAGAGGATGGATCCTATTGCACTACTCTCTGTTCATATAAATTTGTAAAATGAATACATTTTATGAAAGTCTTTACAGTTTAACTCTTTGGGAGTGTGTTGTCTTGAATGTTTCTTCTCCACTTATAGTTAGATGGTCTATGACAATATTATCATTATTTTGATCACTAATAATTGCATAGGTTTCAGGCATCTGTTAACGTTTGTATATGGAGATTATTATTCAGTCACTTTGGTAGAATATACTTGAAATTGTTTTTCTAGTAGTGATACTGAGCTCAACTTTGATTTTTCAATATCCCTCATGTGCCCATAGCCCACATTCTTTAGATGACTAGCTATAGTTTGGGGCATGGTTTGTAGCAATAGAATAGACATTTTTCTGCAAAAGGTAAATGGTCCCAATGGGGTTCAGACTTGTGATCTTGGCCTCATTATCACACTTTTGTAACCATCAGGTCTAATAGTTATGTTATGTATTTCAATCAGTAATCTTGAAATTGAGTTATATTTCTTAAATTACCCATTGTTTATTTCAAATAGTTAATTAAAAATCACTCTGGGATATTTCTCACTTTTGTTTGATAGTAAAAGTAACAAAAGTAAAGCAGACAACCAAAGAACCTACCTCACTTTTCATCTTCCCTGTGTTTTCTGTGACAGTGAAAGTCACAAAAGTGAAGCTTGCAGGCAAAGAACCTAACTCACTTTACGGAAAGTGCTACGGTACCTTTTTCTTTTAGTGAGGCTATAGCAGGTCTGATGTCAGTCACTTTAGAGACCTTTAGACCTCAGTGCTCATTTATTGCTAAAATGTACCAGCTCTGCTTCTGCATTATGAAGATCATCTGTCAACACTTTGAGATATTCTCCTTTGTTATTAAGCTTGTGATGCTCTACACTGTCAGGTTTTTTGCCAATTATAGTTAAGGTACAATGGTGTATTCACCAGATCAAAGTCTCACATTGGCAGTAGAAAAATGATTTGTAAGTCTTTATTCATCTGAATTGTACAATAGAGCACCTGAGGAATGCAAATAATCCTTCTGAGGACTCTGCAGGAAAGGCTGTTAGAATGACAGGGTAGAACTATTGTTATTCTGACTTGATGTTTTAGCCAAAGTAATTATTTCTTATTATTTCATAACAGTTCTAGCTTTATTAGTTATGTTGACCATATTTATGAAGCAAAATGTATATGATATTTTATCCTTTTACATGGGCTTGCTTTATTAAACTTTCTTTGAATCTATATTTGGTATGTGATCTTTTTTAATTACATACTTGATCGTATCTGATGTATCATAAATGTATGTTACATTTTAATGTACAGTTTTGTTTAAATCTATGATGTAACTTAGAATAGGCAAAATATCAAATTAAATTTTCCTTTTTTTCCCTTAACCTGCCCTTCATAATTTTGGCTAAGAAAATATCTAGCTTGGATTTCCTATTTTAAAGGACACTAAAACAAATCTTTATTCATCTATTTATTGGGCTGGTCTCTGTGTGTTTTTTTAAGGATGTGACCAAAAGGAAAAAATAAAAATTATGAAGAGCAAGAACCACTGATGACATATTAAATAAATAAACGATAGTTAGCCTTGTAAAACAAGCATATACCAAGCCTTTATCCCATTGTAAATCCTATTTAGTAAGCGACATATATTTTTAATTTTCTAATAACTCTGATTCTCTGCCATTTTCTTTGATTGGTGAGTGTTAATGACTGTGATTTAATTCTTGTGTGTCTTTTCCCCTAAAGTGACCTTAACATTGATTAATTAAAGAATTCCTGCCAGTTTTGTTTTGTTTGTTTTTTTGCAATAGTGGCTATTAAAACCTTGGTCTAAATATGGGAGACTAGTGGAACTCTGCATGGTATACATTAGTATAAATTTCTATGAAATCTATATTCAGTTCTATACTAAATCTATTTCAGAATTATAGGTATACATACTATGATTATCTGAGAATGAAAATTAATGATATTATTTCTGTTAATACTTGTTTACTATATGCCAGGCATTACTTTTCTAGGTTCTTTACAATATAATATGTACTATTATCTCCATTTTTAGAGATGAGGAAACTGAGGCTTAGAAAGGTTCAGTAACTTGCCCAAGGAAAAAAAACTAGTAAAGTGGTAGGATCGGGACCTGGTTAATATAATCATTTATACTTATTTCACTTATGTTCTAACTGCTACTTTGTCAGAATACTCCATGCTTTGGGGGGAGAGGGGTTCAAGTCATCTTTTTAAATAACACTTGGTATCAATTTCCTAACTGATTTGGCTTTTCAACCCATTTTGAATTCAAAGGAATTTATTTCCTCTGCAGTTCTATACTCATGATCCTACAAAAGTGAGATTTATAAGAGCAGTGTGTACATAATCAGCTAGGCTTGTTAATGTGTATTTCTGGACATGTTTGTTTTAATTAGCAAAAATATCCCTCAAAAACAATACTAATGTAAATTCTTGGTCATCTAAGAAGGAACTAAAGCAAGAATTATAGATATTTGTGTAGAAGTAATTATTTGCCAAAGACTCCTCAAAATTAGCTGGTACTTTTAGGTTTGATTTCTATACAAACAAACTTTGTTTTTCGAAAATTTGCTTTGTAAAGTAAGGAAAATAAATCAAAATTGAGGTTTTCAAGGGCACAGGTGTTAACACTGAACAAAATTAGTGTAACTTTTAAAAGTTTTAAAATATTTGTGTAATAGTTTCTATAGATGATGTGCTAAAGTAAAACTAAATTGCAGTAAAATATTATGGCGTATACCTGAAGCAATTGCTGCCTGTTAATGCCTTGACCTTGGAAAGCTATACACAAAAAGATGGCATCATAAAACCGTGCAATTCTTATGAATATGTATGTGCTACTTGATAATAATGAATGTGGTACAGTCATGCATGCACTACAAGATAATGTTGTGCCCTTTTTTGTCTACAGGTTGATAAAAATCAAAGAGTGGGTGGACAAGTCTGACCCAGGTGCCTTGGTCATTCCTTTTAGTGGGGCCTTGGAACTCAAGTTGCAAGAATTGAGTGCTGAGGAGAGACAGCAGTATCTGGAAGCGAACACGACACAAAGGTTAATTTAGCATTCATTTTCCCTACACTTTATTATCAACTATTTCCTTGCAGTAATTTAATTGCTTGCGCTGATAGAATAATAAATGACAGAGTAATTACCATTATAAAGAGGGAATCTTCTCCTTTCTTTACCATGAGACAGAGTGAAAAGATTTATTTTAAATTAAGTTTTTAACTGTCATCTGTCATCTCTGTACAGTGTTTTAATTATAACATAGGTATTAGTTATGTATATTTTTGAGAAGGAATGATCGCCAAAACTCTTTCGTCATGTTCAGTGGGGGAGGGGAAAAGGTGAATCAGTTGCCTGAATTTTTTCTGAGTAACCGTTAATATATTGTTTAAACATTGGATTTCAATCAAATAATTTTGCTTTCATGACCCACATCCTGGAAATAATTAATATTGGAGGAAATCATCGTAGAATAGGTAAATCGGGTTTTTCTTTTTTTGTAGTAAACAATTCAAAATGACATATTCAGACTAATACAATTAGAATCAGTTTTAAAAGGGTTTTTTAGAAATAGTTATATGCTTTCTGACCTCTTCAAGAGCATTAGAAAGATGAATGGTCATTTACTAGTATCTTTAACATTTTCTACTTGAAATGAATAATTTTAGCTCTGTACCAATCTATGGCACAATTAACTTATATGTTGAGTGAATTTGTTTCATTTTATTTCAGCGCTTTGCCAAAGATCATTAAGGCTGGGTTTGCAGCACTCCAACTAGAATACTTTTTCACTGCAGGCCCAGATGAAGTGCGTGCATGGACCATCAGGGTAAGATTCATACTTATTCATCAGCTATATCCAGTTCCACACTATTGAATTCAGATTGATATCACTGACTTTGAAGTTTGTCATGGTGGCGGTTAGCTAGTCATTACAGATGAGGTTTTTGTCCAGGATAACTTTAATTATTTGTGAGCTGCTGAACAGTGAAAGTGGAGCGGCATTGATTGAGGCAGGTAACAATTGATTCTGCCTATTACATAGTCTGAATTTCTTCATCCTGTAGAATCTGTCTACCCTCCTCCTGTGGTCAGAGATAAGACGCACCAGTATTGTGCTTGCTTAATCTGTGTGACTGGGTTTGTCTGCAGTGAAATTGATGTTGCTTTTCATTTTGTATTCGCTAAGTTTGTTTGGGTTGCGGGTGGTTCTTTCCTCCTTTGCTTTGCTCGGATTACATTTTCAGCAATAAAAGCAATATGACATCATTATGCTCTTCGTAGATACACAGTTGGGCTCGAAGAGCTAAACTCAATGCGCAATAATTCATGCCTTTTGTAATTTGAATTCATAGAGGTAGTGTTTATTTTTTCAATGTTATATATTCAGTCTTTCTTCTTTAAAAATGGATATGTATTTTAAATACTGATGTGTACTGATTAGGACCAAAAAGAATGACTAATTTATTCCCAGAGGACAATAGAAACTGAACTGTAATGGCTTGCTTTTAAATGTAAATGTATTATAATATGGTAGTTACTATTGAAAAATATTTTGAAATATATATAGTCCCACATAGTGTTATAGAATGTAAAAATTATGTTGGAACTTTTAGAAATACTATTTATTCTTTCTTTTATTGTGCTTTTTAAATATATGCTACATGAGTAATTTTAGTGCTGCTTTGATTTCTGTTTGCACTGACTACCGCAATTTATTGTTATATTTATTTTGATTTAATGTGGATAGGAACATGGAGGCAGTTCAACATAATGTTAAATGTGTTGTATGAATGTGAGATTCACTTTTCTTTTATTTCCTCTCCTCTTTGTAAAAAAGAAAAATGTTTGACTGATTTCTAACCAAGGTCCTTTTACATAGACTTATAAAATAATGTCAAAGCAAATCCGAGTTGGTAAATAAATTGCCAGGGTTTATTTTTACTATATATTTTAAAGCCTTAAAACTTCTGGACTGAAGTATGTGTAACAGGAAAGATAATGTGTTCTGGACTTGAAAATTTTGAAAGCTGGTTTATCTTAAGACTGATTGTAAGTATCCATGATTTAATGTGCTAAGATATTTAGTCAGGTAAGCATCAGTGAGTAGCCATATTAACCCAATACATCTTTTATTGTAAAAACTGTGCTTTATAGTGTCAGACTTCTTATCACTTTAACATGCTTTATTAAGCAGTCTTTAGGTCACCATTATTTCTCAGATTTCTTTCCATGGTTGTGTGTGTCTGGAATGTATGTCCTTGTAATTTAACATATGCGGTAATTACAAGACATTTCTCTTCCTACATCGACTTGAATTTTTCTACATGATGGCAGGGTGTGCAATGTAAAATGCTCAAAATTTTTATTATATGAATTTCAAAATTATTTGCTAAACATATATTTTATATATATATGATTTGTTGGAAAATATCTTTTAAATTTCTATATATTGATTTTTTATATTCTTTAGATGTACTGAAAATTTCAAGGCTTTTTCTTTTTAAAACCTTTGCTAATATATCTTAAAAGTTACTTTAAAATCCTTATTTTTTCCATTGTGAAGAATAGAAAATCGAAATGAAACACAGGCCAAAACCAAACCACTGCATCTAAATCAATAAAACTGTGGATGACTGACTGTTAGGAAAAAACAAAGCTATGCTTCTTTAATATCTACTGATCTGTCTGTGCTAAATCTGCTACACAGATAGTGTCCAGTGTTGGAAAGGTACTAATTGTGTACCTGACATCTTCACTGGTATTAAACTAAGTTTAAGTTGGCCACAACTACAGATCAGAAAAAAGAAACTCAACGCTTACAATCATCTTAAATGCAATTAGTTTTCTCTGGTCTTTTCAAAGAAAGGGACGAAGGCTCCTCAAGCTGCAGGAAAGATTCACACAGACTTTGAAAAAGGATTCATTATGGCTGAAGTAATGAAATATGATGATTTTAAAGAGGAAGGTTCTGAAAATGCAGTCAAGGTAAGGAATTATAGTTTCATATTTTGTAATTTTTACTAATAGGAAGATACTCATGATTAAAATGATTAATGAGTGTATCAGGGTTTAGTGTTACTAACCACTGATTGAACAGCTGTAGATGTTTACATGCTTTTAGATAATTTTAAAAATGTGTGAATTGTGTTTTTCTAAAACTGAAAAAAATAAACTAGTTTTAAGTAATTATAAATAATTTCAAAGAATTTGTTCACTGATGGCCAGTGAAGAATTATATTTATTACATTTGAATATCTAAAGTAGAAGTAGTATTATATACTTGTGATTAATTCAAAGGGACAGAAAATCTGTTCTTACTGAAACTTCATGGTTGTACTTTTTTTTTTTTTTTTTTTTAGATATTTGGGGATTTGATTTGCTTTCTCAACACTAGAGGGCAGGTCCAAAATTGTGCTTTATTTTAGCTAATAAGTATAATTTGCTTAGCAGCTCTTATAGTAAAGCAATGTTATATATGGGTAATAAATTAATTTTTATAATGTAAATCCTTTTCCAGGCTTAATCTTGTTTGACTTTATTATGTTTTACTTAGCAGAATCTAGTTGGTATGTCATCTCTAATCAGTAGATAGGTCAAGTGATTAAACTGACATTGTAGTAAGTAAGGCTTCTTTATCTTAAATGTAATTTGTTATTTGAAGACTGCCATAGAAAATGTTAAAGAATTTAAAGAGGTCTCTTGTGTTTACTATTTCATAATTTGAAAGGAATGCAGAAAAGTTTATTTCAAATTTAATGTATTCTCATTGGTATCATTGGAAAGATCATACTGAACAGCAGGACTTTAAAAGAACTTTTGGAACCCCAGGAAGAGGAGGGGAAAACCTGGTATAATTGATTCAATGTGGAATGGGAGCCATTTTGTTTTCTAAAAATTAGTGAGGGAAGTTAGTTCACAACTAAATGTCATTAACGCTCCACTGGTGTCATTTGTGTCGGTAGAGAGGTGTGCAAATACTGAGATTGAACTTTATCAGGAATGCTAATTAGACTTGGAAACCTCAGGTTATTTTCAACATGCTACAAAATGTTAGCACATATATTTTATATAATAGAGATAATTTTAAAAAAGGATATTTTTCTATTATTAGAATTCAGAAATCAGATGATAATTTTTTATACTCTGTGATAAGCCTGCACCAATCCTTGATAGATATGCTATTGTAATAAACTTGAAAGATGTATAAGTTGTGAATACTTCCTTTAACAACACCTGGAAATTTTATAATATACAATAAAGTAATATTTCCTGCTTGTAGAAATGCTTGGCACAAACTGGGGACTTTTGTATTATAAATTGGAAATTATTGACCTCTGGATTTTTAGCTTAAAATACCATTAAGTATTTTATATGATTTTTAATCTCCAAAACTAACATTTCAGAATTTGAACTCAAAGTAAATAAAGCATTTATGAGTTGTTTTATACTCTTTTATTCAACAAATACTTACTTGCATATTATCAAGAAGATTTTAGCTTCAAGAGCAAGATTAGTATATGTGTGAATGTATGTATATGTATTTCTAGTACCAGTGCAGCATAACTAATTTAATGCCAGTGCTGTGAACTATATACTGAATAGCTCTGTGTGGGCTTTGTAGTCTACAGGGATATCACATTATTAGCAATCATATCTGCTTAGGCAAAGCTGGCTTCTACAGATGGCTGCTTTCAAGTGCAAATGAACTGGTTAGACGTGTCTTGTTTAATACATACTCAAGATTCACAAATGGGTATTGATTTTTTTTTTCAACCAGTGTTTCTGATAGCAGTGGAAATGGATTAAATGGTCTCTAGAGAATTTAAAGGAACACTGTCACTTTTAATTAATAGTAAACTTGAGTGGTAACAAAGTATATAAACTTGTATATTAGTATGTCATGTCAATATGTATTTGATTTAAATTGTCTGTATAGCTTTATAACTGTGGGCTCTGTATTCTCAAAATATGTAGCATATGGCCTATAATATATCACGTCTTTATAAAAATCATGTGAGAGAGTGTGTGTGTGGGTGTATGCATGTGTGTGGGAGGGTGTCTGTGCCATTTAGAATGTTAAGAGTATCAAGGCTTTTTTTTAATTGGCTGTTTTAATAATAATACATATTATTAGTAGGTGATTTTTATATGTAGTCTAGATATTTGAAAATACGCTTACTACAGCTCTGATCTGGTTTGTTGATTTTAACCTCAGATGTATGATCTTCGTTAGTGTTGCTTCTCATTAGTATAATTGCACTTGACTTTGAATATTCTTATCGATATGTTCAAAGGGAAGTAGTGATCTTGTTGGGCAAAGATTTTGTGTTCTCAGTAAATTCTATAACAGAAGGAAAATACTTTTGAGAATTTTTTCAAAAGATCACGTCCTCGTTGTCGAGTGGTCGATGGTGGAGTCACATGGACCTAGATGTCAGTTTGTGCAGGTTTAGGCGTAGATGCTGAAGAGTCTGCTGCGCTCAGGGTGAAGTGTGTGTGCTGCGCCATGAGGTGAACCTGGGTCTCTGGAACTGCCACGTGTTTGCATGAGGATCACTGACTGACTACATGTCTAAATCTGCATACCAGCAGGTGGAATCAGTTGCTTTGCCAACTAATATACAAGTGAAAAAAATATCTGTCTCTGCAGTTCCAACCTGTTAGAGTCCGCTTGTGACTAGGGCTGTTAGTCAGTACAGGCACACCTCGTTTTATTGCACTTCGCTTCATTGCGCTTCACAGATGCTGTGTTTTTTACAAATTGAAGGCTAGACCCTCCACCAGAAAAAAAATTACAGCTTGCTTTATTGCAATACTTGCTTTATTGTGTTGATCTGGAACCAAACCTGTGATATCTTTGAGGTATGCTGGTAATCTTCATGATGCATTCTAATACAGAGCACTATGTATGGTCATTGTCAAGACCAAATAAAAAACTACAAGGAAATAATTTAAAATCTGTGTATTTTTACACTTGATAGTAGTTCTTCTTGTAGCAAACCATCTTTTTTGACACCACAGAATTTCTTTAAGTAAACAAAGAAGCCTTATACTAGTTATGTAGTCTTTTTTTCCTGCCTGGTTTGATCTGTTTTGTTACAGTGACTTGCTGGATGTTTGCAGACACATCAGAAATGTACCATAAACAGCATGTAATGAAACTTAATGATATTTGTATAATTACATTTATATACCAACAATTTAGTGGAGAATACATTATGATTATGTATGTATGGAAAATCTAGTTCTGCCCAAATCGGGAATATTTTGCTTCTCTCCAATTCTAGTTTTAAACTTGTATGCCTTCCTATATTTATTTCTTTAAAATATATATATATATATATGTATATATATGTAATATATATGACCTAAGAGTATAATACTTTTTGCATCTGTTCCTACCATTTACCTTATGCTTTATGCATTTAGTTGTACAATAACCCATTTCTTCTATATTTTCTATTTGTAGGCCGCTGGAAAGTACAGACAACAAGGCAGAAATTATATTGTTGAAGATGGAGATATTATCTTCTTCAAATTTAATACACCTCAGCAACCAAAGAAAAAATAAATTTTAGTTATTGCTCAGATAAACATACGATTTTCAAAAAGCATATGATTTTTTTTTAATTAAAATTTCTGAAAACTGAAGGGACACACAAAGTTGGGGGATGGGAATCTTCTACAAACAGAATTATTTTTATTTGTTCTAAAATTAAAATACTGTGTATCTCCAATGAAATGCAAGTTCTCTAATGTGAACAGCTTTGCTTTTCACGTGATTAAGACCCTACTCCAAATTGTGGAAGCTTTTCAGGAACCATATTACTCTCATGATACTTCATTAATCTCCATCATGTATGCCAAGCCTGACACATTTGACAGTGAGGACAATGTGGCTTGCTCCTTTTTGAATCTACAGATAATGCATGTTTTACAGTACTCCAGATGTCTACACTCAATAAAACATTTGACAAAACCAGCCTTGGTGTGTTTGGGGATGTCTGTATTGACTGACTGTGGTGTGCTAAATGCGATACGGCACCTGGTGGTTGCTGATTACTGTGTGTGCGACACAGTAACTGGCAGTGTGGGGCAGCTGCAATTGTATCTTAAAAGTGAGTCTTTCATGGGAATCAGAAGAAAAGTATACCAAGGGTTTGTCTCAAGAAAGTTAATTAATTTGTAGATGGACATTTATTGAAGGATGATAGCAATGATGCTACAAAGGATATAACATAGGTGACTGTGACCAAAAAGAAAATAATGCTGGAAAAAATCTGCTTCGAAAGTAAGGGATTTTTTGTTATTGTTCTGATCATATTGAAGAGAGTGTTTATTTTGAATCTTTCCTTTGAAATTATGAAATTATTGTGCAAACAACTAATTCGTGTCTTTGGTGGGTTATATTTTTCTTTAATTTCGTAGTGAGTGTAAAAGTTTATTACTAAAAAGATAAGACCTTGAAAATAAAAAGAGCCTGTTTTCATACTTGCTATCAAAATATTTTAGACCAGTTGAAATTTGAGTATGTATAAGTTAAGCCCTTTCTAAAATTGTAATAGAAAATTCTGAAAGAAAATAATGATGAATTAGTTCTTTGGAGACCAATTGGCACTTGGCCTTCTTCTCTAATGAGGATAGTCTTAGCGTCTCTCATCCCTGAACCCTCCCTTCCTCTCCCACATTAACACTCCTGCAAGACCTCCCTGTCCCCATCCATGCCCTTATGTTCTCTGTGATTATAGGACCGTTTCAGTGGAATGCGGTCATACCTAGGTTAGCCCTTTATTCTGCTGTATTACTTTGTCACATTAAAGATGAGGAAATATGAAAACACACACTTAAACTTAACATTGAAACAACATAGCACAAAAGGCAAGAAAATAAGTGATTTTAAAGGAGCTTCGGCTATACATAAGAAAGGATGTTTAAAGGAGTAATGAATGTAATAGGAGCTCTTAAGTGAGTATGCCCTTTTTGAGAATCAAATGCAATAGTCCCACCTTATCCTCAGGGGATATGTTCTAAGAACTCTGGTGGATGCCTATAACTGAGGATAGTACCCAGCTTATGCTATATTTTTTCCTGTATACACTTACCTATGAAAAAGCTTAATAAATCATGCACAGTAAGATATTAACAATAGTAAAATAGAACATTTATAATATAAAAGTTATGTAAATATGGTCTCTCATAACCTATCTGATAACTGAGACAGTTACTAAGTAACTAACAGGCAGGTAGCATATACAGTGTGGATACACTGGATAAAGGGATGATTCATGTCTTGGACCAGACAGAGCGAGACAGCATGAGATTTCATCATGCTACTCAGAACAGCATGTAATTTAAATCTTAATTGCTAAAACTGGAATTTTTCATTTAACATTTTTGGACTTCAATTGACCACAGGTAACTGAAACTGCAGAAAGTAAAACCATGTATAAGGAGGAACTATATCAAGATATTTTTTTGCAAACATAAAAATTCATAAGCTGCAGCAGAGAAATACTAAAACTAAGTGCAAAGTTTTTTTTAAGAACTAAATAAAACATAAGTGAAACTCAGGTACAGGTGCAGTTGACCAAGTTTGCTGTGAAAATTCATACATTTCTGTATTGGAGGAATGTATAGATTAGTAGATTGCTAGGGGTTTTACTAGTAGAAGAAGAAATCACATATTTTGCTTTCGAGTCTTCTCCAAAGTAAATTGCATAGACTTCTTACATATGTTTGAAATCTTATTTAAAGGCCTTTTTGATTGTGTAATTTTACTTTTGCTAACTTCTAATGTGATAATTGTACATGGCAGAACAGAACCATTAAGAGAAAGAAGTGAGTTTTGAGATAACTGCATTTGCTGGGGGCTGAAATTAAATGCTTAAAATGTTTAATTTGGTTAGAGGTTCTGCAACATTCTAAAAATGTGTACAAAATTGTATTTCCTACAAAAGTTGAGAATTCCAAGAACTTTTACACACAAATAACTGAGAGTAGGCTATATCTTCATGTTTAATACTGGTGATAATTATCTGTATTTTTAGGATTATAATTGAATATTTTTTCACCTATCTAGCTCCATTTAATTATATCTTTAATTAAAAAGATATTTTCTTTTTGCCCAAAGCTTAGAAAAAGGTGTGTAGTATCATGGAATTTAGTTTTATCATGTTATCCCTGTAACTTGCACTTTGGGCATCAGAACCAGAACCCCCTCCCACTAAAAAAGGAACACAGATACTTTTCTTCATTAACATAGTTTTGTGTGAAGCTTCTGTTTGCGTGTAATTTGCCAGGTCCATTTGGGAAGTAAGTTTTCTTACTCATGATTAATCAACTTTTTGGCATTAAAATCCAGATTAATGTTTATCCCTGGTTGTCTCGGTATTGTATTCTCAAAGCTCCTTTGTGAGAACTCTGTCCCCCAAAGAGTCAGAGACAGAAAATTCCTTCTTTTCCTGTCTTACATTCTTCTGAGTAGTCTACTTCAGTACACTTATGCTCTTTTTTATTTTGCCAGGTACTTCAGAAATGTTCATTGTTTAATGGCAAACTGCTTTAGCTGGGAAAATGGGTCTCATCTCTTTAAGCTAGTAAAAATACCCTGCTGATAGACTAAAAGCTGGGTTAGAATTTGAGTGACTTTTTTGTCTTGTAACTGATATGGGGCCCCTTATAAAAACTGACAGTTCCTGAATCGCCTTTATTCTCTGAATATCCGGAACCACTTGTAATTAGTGTCTCACTGAAGAGCCCCATGTTGCAATCAGGAAATAGAAAAACGAGAGGCCTCACTTGACCTGGCAGGCCGCACTTCAGAGTTCTGAAACCACACATCCGATCTGGTCCTTGCAGGTCTAGGGACAGGACTCTTTTTCAGCTCAGGTGGTGCTGTGTGGAACACTTCCCAAACTTAAAAGGGCCTAATTTGTAAACTAGAATGCAAGTTTTTTCATTTACGTAGAAGGTGTTCCTGGTATATAATTAAATGGTGGTTAAGGCCCATACTCAGGAGTGAAAAGGATCCAGCCATCTAAGGAAGTAGGGTAGGAGCACCTCAGGCAGAAGGAACGGGCAATGCAGAGGCTGTGGGGCAGGAAAGAGCCTGGTGTTTTGAGGAACAGACAGGAGGCTGGGGTGGCTAAAGTGTAATGAGTACACGATTCTCAGTTATGCAGGGCTTTGCATATACGATGCAATGCTGGGATTTTATTCTAATTTAAATGGATAGCCACTAGGGTTTTTTTTGTTGTTTTTTTTTTTGCCAGGGATGGGGGAGGAGCATGGAAGGTCCTCTTTGGATATAGCATCCTTCCAGCTTCAGGAAGTGCTCACTGGCCTGCAAGCGCTCTGCATCCTGCTCAGGTGTTGTTATCTGTCAAGCTCCAGCCCCCACCCCCTTCTCAGAGGCTGGTGAGTGGAGCCACTAGGTTTTAAACGAGAGGTATATGATCTTATTTACATCTTTAAGGATCACCTAGAATCTTCACTCCTCTGCCATCTTACCCAGTCTCTCCCCGCTCCCCTTCCCCCCCCCCCCCCATTGTGAGAACCAACTGTGAGGAAAAAGCAAAGTGCACAGAGGGCAGATGGAGCAGAGAGCCTAGGAGCAGCACACGGGGACATCAGAGGCCAGAGAAGTGCACCGGACACACATTATTGTCCAGGGCAGCACTGTCCATAGAAATATAATGTGAGCCATGTATGCACATAAATTTTTCTAGCAGCCACATTTTTTTAAAGAAACAATTCATCTTAATGTATTTTTAACTCACCCAAATTTTAATATTTGAACATGTAATCAACTTAAAACTTATTAAGACCTTTTATTTATTTTTAAAATATATTTTATTGATTTTTTTACAGAGAGGAAGTGAGAAAGATAGTTAGAAACATCGATAGGAGAGAAACATCAATCAGCTGCCTCCTGCACACCTCCCACTGGGGATGTGCCCGCAACCAGGGTACATGCCCTTGACCGGAATCGAACCCAGGACCTTTCAGTCCGCAGGCCGACGCTCTATCCACTGAGCCAAACTGGTTAGGGCTTATTAAGACCTTTTAAATATTTTTCTTTCATACTGTCTTCAAAATCTAGAGTGTGTTTTACACCTACTATACATCTCAATTCAAACTAGCCACATTTCCACCGCTCAATAGCCATATGTGGCTTAGTGGCTGCTATAGTAGACATGTGGATCTAGGGGTTTACCTTTCCTCCTAAGAAGTTTAGACTGAAATCTCATTCCAATCTGATTCCAACAAATCTCATTAAGACCTCACTTTGCTCAGACTTGTTGTGTTTTCATTTAAAGCTGAATGTCAAAAGTGTATGCTAAATCCTCATTTCCAGTTTGTTTTTAAGAAGGAAAAAAAAAAGTGTAGGGCTTATTGACTAGAGCAGTGGTCGGCAAACTCATTAGTCAACAGAGCCAAATATCAACAGTACAACAATTGAAATTTCTTTTGAGAGCCAAATTTTTTAAACTTAAACTATATAGGTAGGTACATTGTTATTAACTTAATTAGGGTACTCCTAAGGCTTAGGAAGAGCCGCACTCAAGGGGCCAAAGAGCCGCATGTGGCTCGTGAGCCGCAGTTTGCCGGCCATGGGACTAGAGGATGGCCAGGAGAGAGCAGTTATGGTAGTGCCAATAAGACTGACTCTTAACTTAGAACAACTACAAATGGAGCGATGCAACTTGATTGGATCTGCTTGCTGGAGGAAGACACACTGATGGATTGGATGAGAGGAGGGAAGGGAGGAATTAAGAATGACTCCTATGCTTGGAATATATGTGAAGAAATGCAAAACACTAATTTGAAAGGATATATGCACCCCCATGTTCATTGCAGCCAAATTATGGAAACAACCTATGTGCCCATCAGTAGACAAGTGGATAAAGGAGTGCTGCTATGTGTACACAGTGGAATATTACCTGGCTTTTAAAAAGGAAGAAATCTTACCTCTTCCAACAG